TTCCGCCTCAGCCTTCCAAGTAGCCAGAATTACAGGCATGCACTACCACGCCTGGCTGATTTTTGGATTTATTGTAGAGGTGAGGTCTCGCTGCCCAGGCAGGTCTCGAACCCGCGGGCTCAGGCAATCCACTCACCTCAGCCTCCCAAAGGCGCGGGATTACAGGTTGAGCCACCGAGCCCGGCTGCCTTTTTGTTTTTTTAAGGGATAGGGTCTTGCTATGTTGTCCAGACTGGCCTTCAACTTCTGGGCTTAAGCAGTCTTCCTTCCTCAGCCTCCCAAGTGGCTGGGAGTACAGGTGTGAGTCCAACAGATGTATAGAGATGTGTTAAAAGTATAGAGATCTTTTAATTTGAAATGCTGTTTTGTTTTTGTCTTATAATTTCTTATCTGTAATAGGAGAAAACCTAGGCTGTAGTTACTGATTACAGCACTAGACTGTGATTCTGTAGTTCTTGTTGAGTTCCTGTGCTGTGTATTAGAGAAGCATTTTAATTTAACATAATAGTAAGAAAATCAAACAAAATATGTATTAGTAGCAGGTCTGAACTCATTTTTTTCCCCCAGAAAAATAATTCTTGTCTTAACCTCTTTAAGAAGTGGTACATGTCGATAATCCCAGCTACTCATGAGGTTAGAGCAGAAGGATCGCTTGAACCCAGAAATTCAAGACCAGCCTGGGCAACATAGCAAGACTTTGTCTCACACACACACAAAAAAGCCCTCAAATGTGATACTACAATTTTTTTTTTTTTTAAATTGTAGAAAAAGGGCCACACTAGTTAAAATGGGGAGGAACATTTGTTTTCTGGCTTCTTGCTGTGAATGACCCCCCGCCAGCCAAATTAGAGCCCATGCAGAGATTGTATAAAGGAAATCAATACCTTTTAGATTCCATAATTATAATGATTAATACTATTTTTTTTAAGGCCAAAAGCTAAAAAGTTTCCCAAGGAAAGGAAAATTAGATGTTGATAGAAATCTAAAAATAGGAGAGTGACCAAAGAAAACCAGTTTACAATTAGAAAAACATGATTTCCCCTCCTAGTTCCTACATCTTAACTTTAAGCCATGGAATTTCTGTTCTTTCAGAGATCGTTAGGCAGACATTGGAGATGGTTCTGGAAGTATAGGTTGTGGCAGGTGAATTCTTTGCTTAGGAGTTGAGGCTTATTGTGAACTGTGATAATTCAATGAGAAAAGGAGAGCAACAAAAGTCCTAAGATGTAGAGAGCATAAGAGAGTGGGTGGTCTCACTAGCAAGATTTACGAGGCTGTGGTACCACCAGGGAAGCAATGCTTCTATTAATGTGAGGTAGCTGGAGTATTCTACAAAGCAATTGAGATCTTTAAGAGAAATTTGCAACCATAGGAGAGAGCACAATTTCCCTGAATGTGTACCTTGAGATTTTAATTGGTGTTACAGGATGTTAGGGGGGAGGGAGGGAGATAAGGAGAGCAGTATAAATTTGGGAAACACGAAGCCAAATCAAATAAAGTGGTTTCTTTGCTGTAGGCTTCTCAGAGCTTTTATTTCCATGTGCAATGTCAGGTTTGGGTGGTAGTAGGGGCTGGATATAGAGCATAAATATAAGTATGTAAGTGTTTCCCAATCTGTTTAGCCACGGGATCCTTATCCTCTGAGAGCATCAAATAGGGCATACTTCAGGAACTACTGGAATTGGAATTATTTGAAGTTATAGAGCCTTCCCAAGCAGGGGTTAGAGTAGGGCTGTAGAAAGGGGATACATCAGGAAAGAGGAAATTCTGAATGAATAAAGATGAGGTTAAAGGAGAGGGCAGCTTAACCGAGGGACAGTCATCTTGGGCTGTGATCTGCACACACATACACGGTGGCAACATGGAGAGGCCAAACAGAAGGACGTGGTAAAGATGGGCACCAAGGGACATACTGAACTTAGAGGTTCAAATCCCTATAGAAACTTCAATGAAGGTATGCTGCAGTTACATGTCAGCTTGTCTTGCTTTGATTGCCCTCCACAGGGTCATACCCGCCCCAAATATGAATGTCTTCTTTGAGCAACTTCCAGTCAAGACGAAAGATGAGGCAATTAGGGCCAAAGTTGAGGGCTATTTCAAGAGCTCTTGTACAGGAAGATATGCTTGGGTCTGATAGTCCCTATATAAGATTCTCAGTAGCTGAGGAAGATAGGGAAGTACCTATGACAAGTAGGTGGAAATTCAGGCCCTCAAACCTCTGAGAAAAAAAGCAGACTAGAAGCTTATCAGTTGGATGGGCCATTGTGAATGTCAGCCTTTTTTGTGCAAACTTTCTTGACCTATTTGTCTTTTATTCTTCCTTCCTCTATTAAACTTAGTGTTTTGTTTGCTTAAGATTGTCCTAAAGCAGTTGGTTGGGAAAGGAACCAGAAAGGAGGCATGGGACCAAGGATGGTGAACCTCAGTGAATGTATGGACCCTAAAAGGTATGTTTATGAAGCTGTTTCTCCATTGGGGCTTTTCATAACCAGGGCACATGCCAAGTTCTGTCAGGCCAACTCTGTGTTGCTTCATTCAGTTTAGGGTTGCCATTCATATCGACAATGGGTATTCTTCTCTTTGCTACCTCTTAAGGTTAGATGTGAGAATTAGTATTAATGATTGATATCTTGAAGGCATTGATTCTTTTAGACATTTAAATTTTGTTCTTGCTTCAAGCTCTCACTCTCAGACTTGTATATCTGTATTACCTTTCAGTTCTTTATTCATTGCCCTTAAGCTTTGTTTTATTGGCCCACATTGAAGGAAATTATAAGAAATATTTCATGGAAAGCACTATTTAAGAGCCAATTTAATTGCACTATTTATTAGGGAGGCCTGGGAGAAATTTCTTTCTTTTTTTTTGAGTTGGAGTCTCACTCTGTCACCAAGGCTGGAGTGCAGTGGCACACTCACAGCCACCGTAGCCTCAACCTGCTGGGCTCAGGCGATCCTTCCCCTCAGCCTTCCAAGTAGCTGGAACTACAGGCATGGGCCACCACACCCAGCTAATTTTTTGATTTACTGTAGAGATGAGGTCTGACCAAGTTGCCTAGGCTGGTCTCAAACCCATGGACTCAGGCAATCCTCTCACCTTGGCCTCCCAAAGTGCTGGGATTATAGTTGTGAGCCATCATGCCTGGCCTCTTTTTTTTTTTTTTTAACAGTTTCTTTAATTTTTTTTGAGTTGGAGTCTCATTCTTTGCCCAGGCTGGAGTACAGTGGCACACTCATGGCCACCCCAGCATCGACCTGTTGGGCTCTGACAATCCTTCTGCCTCAGCCTTCCAAGTAACTGGAACTACAGGCGTGCGCTACCACGCCCAGCTAATTTTTTAATTAATTGTAGAGATGAGGTCTCGCCAAGTTGCCCAAGCTGGTCTCGAACCTGCGGGCTCAGGCAATCCACTCACCTCAGCCTCGCAAAGTGCTGGGATTACAGACTGAGCCACCGAGCCTACTCGGGAGAAATTTCTGTTTTCAGTACTAGGAAAAACTTTTCTGTTAGTATGTTTTTATTCTTGGACACAATAATTCTTAGAACTGGTCATGCTTCCCTTTTCACATTGGCTGTAGGAGCTCAGTGTCAATTTTGTGGCTCACAACTAGCAATTGCAGAGGACCACATGGCATGCATTCTGGTGAGAATTCCCACTTACCTTCAATCTTCATCTTTTCCGCTTGATCCTGATGTGCTTATTATTTCTTGTTTTCTCCCATAGCTATATCTTTTAGAACAAGATGGGAGCACAAATGAAAAAATCTCTCATTTTCTAGGTTAGCTGAGTCATCAGTAGATCTGAACCTCAAATTGATGTGTTGGAGATTGGTCCCTACTTTAGACTTGGACAAGGTTGTGTCTGTCAAATGTCTGCTGCTTGGAGCTGGCACCTTGGGTTGCAATGTAGCTAGGACGCTGATGGTAAGTCTGTGGGGGCCACATGGCACCTTTGAAGCTGTGGCTTCCCTTCATGATTACCTTCTGTCTCCCAGATAACTCCCTTTCTGTCCCTCTCTTTTGTTTTTATTTTCTCAGTATTTTTTTAAATATAAGAGAAATATGTGCTTTTCTTGTAAGATAGAAACAGAAAAGTCTTCCTCTATTTCCATCCCAAGTTCCATTTCTCAAAATTAAGCGGACTTCATGGATTGGTATGAAGCCTGTCTTTCCCAGATGTTATTGTAGGCCTATCTAAATTGAGAGAGATAGAGAGAGAGAGAGAGAGAGAGAGAGAGACTGAGAACTTTGCCATCTTTGCTATTATTTATTTGTGTTTATAAAAATTGAATCATGGCATACTGTCTATAATGGATTTTTATTCTTAATTTGATAGAAAAATAATTGTGGCCACTTTTGTATAGAGCCTCTGTTGTCTGTTAGAGGACATTTTTATGCTTACATGTTTACATATCCATGGAATTATCTCTTCAGGAAAAAATCCCTACATGTAGAATTGCTATGCTAGAGAGAATTTACAATTTATATATTTATTTTTTACTTAAAACATTTTTTCAAACTAAATTACCTTCCGAAAATGTTGTACTAGTTCTTAGGAACATGTGAGAGGTAGCTTTTTTCCACACTCTTGCCAAAATTGGATAGTATCAACTTTTAAAATCTTTGTTAATACAGTTAACAAATAACATTTTATTGTTTTAATTTGCATTTTTAAATTAGCAAGTGAGTTCAGTTTTATTTCTTTTTTTTTTTTTGAGTTGGAGTCTCACTCTGTCGCCCAGACTGGAGTGCAGTGGCCGCTCTCGGCCACCGCAGCCTTGACCTGCTGGGCTCCGGCGATCCTTCCACCTCAGCCTTCCAAGTAGCCGGAATTACAGGTGCGTGCTACCACGCCCGGCTAATTTTTTGATTTATTGTAGAGATGAGGTCTCGCCAAGTTGCCCAGGTGGGTCTCGAACCCGCGGGCTCAGGCAATCCTCTCACCTCAGCCTCCCAAAGGGCGGGATTACAGGCTGAGCCACCGAGTCCGGCTTAGTTTTATTTCTTTTGTGAATTTTATTTCTTCTATTCATGTCCTTTGGATTGTGTTTCTTTTATCTAGAGTTCTTTTTATTATGGATATTAACCTTTTTTTCTTAATGTGTTGCAAATATTTTTCTTAATTTATTAAAGATGTCTTTTTTCAATTATATGTTATTATGTATCACAATTTTTTCTTTTATGGTTTACAGAACTCTTTGTTTTTATGGTTAGATCTTTATCAATGTAGAATTTTGTCATATAATGAGAGGTAAAGATTTAACTGCTTTACACAAAATGGATAAGTCAGTTGTTTTAATGGCAGTTATTCAATAATCCAAATAATTATTTCTTCATTTTATCAAATGCTAAATTCCCTTATATAACCAAGTCTCTTAATGGAGTCTCTATTTTGACTCATTGATCTATTTTTTTATTCCTACATTTCTACTCACTATTTTGGTTGTAATTACAGTGAATTTATAGATAAACTGGAAGTGATTTATGTCCTTGTGACATTAGTTCTTAGTTCTAGAAGCCTGGTCGCTCTCTTAATTTAATTAGATCATTTTTGTCTTTCAGTGGCATTTTCTTTGTATAGGCTTTGCACATCTTATTTAGTTTAAATATGTTGTTTCTACATATTTAATGATTTTTTTCTTTTAGAGATATTTTCTCCTGTTAAATTTTCCAATTGATTATTGCTGGGATATAGGAAAGATAGTGAGTTTTAACATCTTTATCTAGCCATCTTTCTAAGCTCTCTTAGTTCTAATAGTTTTTTTATTTGATTCTTTTGAATTTTGTTTGTTGGTAATATTCTGCACTAATATTTATGTCTCTGGTTATTTTCTTTGTCTTATAAGATTGACTAAAACTCCACAGTAATGTTGGGTAACTCTCACATTACATCTTTGTGATGCTATGAGTAAGTTTTGTTACCAACTTTAATGAGAATACTTCTTGTTTTTGTTTTTGATATTGGTAATTGCTCTTTATAAAGTTAAAAAAGTCAATTTCTGTTTCTGCTAATTTATATCAGAAATGAATGTTGAGCTCTTTTTTTTTTTTTGAATTGGAGTCTCACTCTGTCGCCCAGGCTGGGCTGCAGTGGCTCGCCCACAGCCACCCCAGCGTTGACCTGCTGGGCTCTGGCGATCCTTCCACCTCAGGCTTCCAAGTAGCCAGAACTACAGGCATGCGCTACCACGCCTGGCTTATTTATTTATTTATTTGTTGTAGAAATGAGTTCTCACCAAGTTGCCTAGGCTGTTGTCAAACCCGTGGGCTCAGGCATTCCCTTTACCTCAGCCTCCCAAAGTGCTGGGATTACAGGTTTGAGCCACCATGCCCGGCCCTGAACTCTTTTCAAATACATCTATTAAGACAAAGTATTCTAATGTGAAGCATTTCTTGAATAAACCCTATTTGTTCATAGTATCTTCTTCTCATGCACTATGGAATTCAGTTGGTAATGTTTTATTTATAAATTTTTGTCTTAATTCATAAGTCAAGTTGGTCTCTAGTAATGTTTTTCCTTGTTCTATCTTTGTATATTTTATAGCTGAGTTATACTAGCTTTATAAAATAAACCCAAAACATTCTGCCTTTTTCTAAGCTCTAGAGCAGTTGAAATATATAAATTATCTGTTCCCATGGTGAAGTAAAATTTAATTGTAAATCCATCTGGGCCTGATGTCTTTTGGAATTTTGTTGCCCAATAGGGAGGTATGCAGGGAATCTTTAGGGACTCTTATAAATGTTTCTATGTTGACTCACCTTTTTAGATTTTAATCTGCATTTGAGTCAGCTTGTTTTCCTAGAAAATTATCCATTTCGTCTTACTTTAAAAATTAATTAGCCGGGATCGGTGGCCCAGCCTGTAATCCCACGCTTTGGGAGGCTGAGGTGAGTGGATTTCCTGAGCCCGTGGGTTCGAGACCCGCCTGGGCAACTTGGCAAGACCTCATCTCTACAATAAAAATCAAAAATTAGCCGGGCATGGTAGCACGCGCCTGTAGTTCCAGCTACTTGGAAGGCTGAAGCGGAAGGATCACTGGAGCCCAGCAGGTCGAGGCTGCGGTGGCCAGGAGCGGCCACTACACTCCAGTCTGGGTGACAGCGTGAGATTTCGACTCAAAAAAAAAAAATAAATAAATAAATAAAAATTAATTGACATAGAATATATATGGTATTCTCTTACCATTTTTCAAATCTCTTTATCTTTTAAAAAATCTTTCCACATTACTAATGTTTTGAATTTATGTTTTCTTTTTTTAGCTTTACTAGAGAAGCTTGACAAATTGTATCAGTCTTTTTTGGATCACTAAGTTATTTATTAGTTATAAATAACTTAGTGCTAAGTTATTTATAGTTTTGTTTTTTGTTTTGCTTTCAGATTCATTAATAAGTACTTTTTATTAATTTCTTCCTCCTTTTGTGGTATTAATTTTTTTTTTTTTTTTTTGAGTTGGAGTCTCACTCTGTCGTCCAGAGTGGAGTGCAGTAGCCGCTCCTGGCCACCGCAGCCTTGACCTGCTGGGCTCTGGCGATCTTCCCGCCTCAGCCTTCCTAGTAGCTGGAACTATAGGCATGCGCTACCATGCCCGACTAGTTTTTTAATTTATTGTAGAGATGAGGTCTCGCTGCCCAGGCGGGTCTCGAACCCGCGGGCTCAGGCAATCCACTCACCTCAGCCTCCCAAGGCGCGGGATTACAGGCTGAACCACCGAACCTGGCTTGTGGTATTAATTTTATTGACTTTTTCTAGCTTCTAGAATTACTAGGTAGTTAGATTTTCCTAACACTTAAAACAATTATAAAGTCAGCATAGACCTATTATAGAACATTTGTAAAGTATAAAAGTCATAAAATAGGAAAGAAGACATCCATTTTGCTACCACTTTTTCACTTTTTTCCTTCCACTGTTTATAACATATTCTTCAATCTTATTTGATATATAACTTTAAAAAGAACAGAGAAGAAGTTTTTTGAGAAAGAGTCTCTCTTTGTTGTCCAAGCTGGGCTCAAACTTAGGCTCCTCCACTTCAGCCTCCTGAGTAGCCAGGCCTACAGGCACATACTACCATACCTGGCTAAAGCCTTTTTTTTTGAGCTGAGGTCTCACTCTGTCACCCAGGGTGAAGTGCAGTGGCATGATCCCAGCTCACCACAGCCTTGACATCCGGGGCTTAGACAATCCTCTGCCTCAGGCTCTCGAGTAACTACGACTACAGGCTTGATTTTTTTTGTAGAGACGAGGTCTTGCTATGTTGCCCAGGCTAGTCTTAAACTCCTGGGTTTAAGTAATCCTTGGATCCCACTTGCCTCAGCCTCCCAAAGTGCTGGGATTATAGGTGTGAACCACCGTATCCAGCCTAAAGCCTTCTAAGTGACTATAGAATATGCCTCTTTATGTGATGAAACATAATTTACTGAACCATTTTCCTAATGTTTAGCCTTAGCATTGTTTCCAGTGTTTTACAATTATAAATTGTGTTGCAAAGAACATCTTTGTGATGGCATCTTTGTCAGTGTGTCAGATTATTTCTTAGGATAAATTACTGGAAGTAAGTTATAGATAGAATATGACTATTTTTAAGGTTTGAGAAACATATTGCCAAACTGCTTTCCAGAAAACTTATACCAGTTTAGCGTTCTCAACCAGTAAAATGGTTTTCTCATCACCACATTCTCACCACCATTGAGTGTTGTAACTTTCTTTAATCTTTGCAGATTAGCCATTTAAACTGTGCAGCATTCCAGGAAGCCAAAAGTTAATTGTGCAAATACACCTGTATGTAACTAACCTATGGCATGTTTGTAATGTATCTGACTTTCTTCCTACTGCCCAGCATGTTCCCAGACTGCCTTCCTTGCTATCCACTCAGCAGTTCCTTTAAGATATGCAAAAATACTTTAGAAATAAATATTCCCTAAGCAAGCACAAGTGACTTTTGGGTTTTCTCTACCTTTATTCCCCCTCTATGGTAGGCTGTTTAACTATTATAAGTAACTTACAAAATTGGGTGGGTAGACCAAACAAAACAGCCAGTCTGAACTATCTTATGAATGTGGATTCTGGCCTGTTGTTCTCAACCCTGAAGACAAAAATAAATCTTGGTTCCTTGTTGGCTGTCACTCTGAAACTATCAGTCTAATTGAGTCTCATAACTTTTTTTTTTTCCTGAGTCTTATAGCTTTTAAGGTAGTATATTGAAATAAGAGAGAGAGAGCGCGCGCAAGAGAGCAGACTCTTAGCTTTGTAGTCAGTCATGGTAGGATCTCTCTTAGGTAACTTTGTTTTCTTATGATCTACTAAAATATACCCACCTTACCTCACTCCAAAAAGTAGTCCTCTTCACTTGGTTGCTTATGATCTAACCATTCATTGGAGGTCTCTCTCTCTCTCTCTCTCTCTCTCTCTCTCTCTCTCTCTCTCTCTCTCTCTATATATATATATATATATATATATCCTGTTAACTGGATGTATGATTTTAGGCAAGTCACTTATATTTTCTGGGCTTCAGTTTCCATGTAGGTAAAACAAAGTGATTGGACTAAAGATGCTAGAGATCTTGTCCAACTTTAAAATTATATGGTTCTAGAAAACTTTATAGGAGACATAATTGAGGTCTGTGAAATCATGAAAACTATTTCTAAACTGTAGAGTTGCTCCCTAAGTTCCAGATTATTAATGAGGCTTCTGCCCCCTGGAGAAATAGAACAAAATAGTCTATAATATTATATAGTGGGAAATAACTTGTAGGCCACTTTTGTAAGAAGTTAATTCAGGCTTTAAGTGAGCTTCAAGAGTAGTTGCTATTTATACTTAATTATTCATTAAGATAAATCAAGGACATTTAGGGGCTACTGCTAATCTTTTTAAAAACAACACAGTGCTGGACTCGGTGACACAGCCTGTAATCCCAGCACTTTGGGAGACTGAGGCAAGAGGATTGTCTGAGCTCAGGGTTCAAGACCAACCTGGGCAACTTAGCAAGATCTTGTCTCTATAATAAAGAAAAAAAAAATTTTAGCTGGGCATGGTAGTGCATGCTTGTACTTCTGGCTACTTAGAAGGCTGAGACGGAAGGATCACCAGAGCCTAGCAGGTCGATGCTGGGGTGACCATGAGTGTGCCACTGCACTCCAGCCTGGGTGACGGAGTGAGACTCCAATTCAAAAAAACAAAAACAAAAATAACCCAACAATATAGATAGTTCTTATTGGATTCACCTTCACATCTTTCTCTGGTGCCGCTGTTAAAAATAATGAATTATTAGTCAAACATACTCTGACATTTTTTAGTCTCATTACCTCAGGAAACCAGGCACTGAATACCTAATTTGTTTTTTAAAGGAATAACCTTCTGTTTTTCAAAAATTGAATTGTGCAAATTCAATTTCTGAAGTTTCCTATATGTTGAGGTTCCCAAGACCAAAGCAACACCCCTTTTGAGATTTCAAGAGATATACTCTGAAATGTTCATCAGAAACACACCATGATCTCCTGTCTCCATGCAGGGTTGGGGCGTCAGACACATCACATTTGTGGACAATGCCAAGATCTCCTATTCCAATCCTGTGAGGCAGCCTCTCTATGAGTTTGAAGATTGCTTGGGGGGCGGAAAGCCCAAGGCTCTGGCTGCAGCAGACCGACTCCAGAAAATATTCCCCGGAGTGGTATGTGGATGTTTTGGGGGGACATCAGAGGGTTTCTCCTAGATCTATAAGTATTTATGCCTTTGAAGAATGAAGCACTGTGGTATTGGTAAAACAGAACCAGATATCTGTCACTTCCTGCCATGCACTCATCAGGTGACTGAGCCTCTGTTTCCTCATCTCAGAGGCAGAGATTTAAAAACATGATGAAACTCTCATATATTCTTGTGGAAATGAAATGAGACTCTATGAAAATGTTTTTCAGGTTGCAAAGCATTATATGAGTTTAGGTTGAGGAATTTGGGAATTTGTATATTGTTATATCTTGTTTGATTCAAAGGGAATTACAGTGACTCAGATATAAAATTTTTTTCCTGTCATCAGAATACTTAGTGATTACTTAATACAGATTTATGAAATTAAATTGAATGGAAGTCTCTGTGCAGAAGAAAGATTGGGCTGAAAGTTTCGCTTTTTACTCCGTCTGCTTCTTATTTTTGAGTTACATCATTTACTGTAGAAACACCAGGTAACAAGAAAAATATCAGATAACAAGAGAAAGCTCATTTGATTCAAAGTCTTAAAAGTTTTTTTTTTTTTTAAAGTCAACAACAAAAGAGATTCTGCATCTTGAATGCTTTAATCAATTTATCTGACAGAATTTAGATTAAGTGTCTCCGGAGTATCTGCCTATACTTAAAGCGCCAGAAGACACTCTCAGCTTGAACCAAGAAAAGCCCACTTTCTCAAAGTTTCTCTTGTTGGTCACCTCTTATTAAATTCATTCATTTTAGCACTTTCTCAAAGTTTCTCTCGTTGGTCACCTCTTATTAGATTCATTCATTTTAGAAATCTTTGCTTTAGAGGCGGTGTTAATGGTATTGTCCATTTCACTAGCATCTCTGAGGAATGCCGTTTACTGGATTTAGTTCAACAATATTGATTTTCTGCCTACTATGTACCCAGCTATGGGCTGGATGCCAAAAGAAATAAGAATAAATTGCTTGCTGTCTCTTGTAGTTTTCGAAATTCAAATAAAATGGGGGATAAAAAAAAAAAGAAAAGAAATAGAATAAGTTGCAACCCTGTCAATGAGAAGGCACATCATTAGTTAGGTTTCTGCTATGACAATATTGCATATCACACTATCCCCAAATCTCAGTAGTTTCTAATTGCAAACATTTATTTCATGCTCACTGGCATGCAGGCAGGCTATTGTTCAACTGCAGGGCTAGGCTGAACTCCAGACTTTGAATCAGGTTCTGATCTTCTGTGTATGTCATTATTTCAAAATATAGGTTAAAGAAGCACAGTCATCTGAGTCCTACTCTTCTTATGGTAGAAGGTGTAAGCTTAAAAGGGTTACTGATTGTCATATCTCTTAAAGTCTCAGCTCAGTGCAGTGTCTTCCATTTCCATTGCTGAAGCAAGATACAGAGCCAAGTCCAACATGAATGGGCTTGGTCAGTATACTCTCCCAGTGGGAGATCCTGCAAAGCCATGCTGCAAAGGACATGAGTATATAAGTCTACTACAGGAAGGAAGTGCAGCGTTGGGAAGAACAATGCAGTCTGTCACTGGAGAGTATAATGAACTCTCCTTGGGGTCTTGACAGACCTGGCTTTGAATCTGAGCTCTGCCACTCGTTAGTTGCCTGAAAGTTTTGCTTACCCAAATCCTAGCCATTGGATTTGGGTGATTCCCCCTATTTGTTTGTTCAGTTGTTCCATTATTTACTCACTTATCAGATAATTTTCTTTTCTCTTTATTTCAATGGCTTTTGGGGAAGTACAAATAGTTTTTTGTTACATGGATGCATTGACCAGTGGCAAAGAAGTCTGGGTTTTAAGTGTACCCCCACCCTCACCTGTGCACATTGTACTCAGTAGGTGATTTTTCACCCCTCCACCCTCCCGTCCCACTTCTGAGTCTCCAGTATCCTTTATACCATTCTCTATGCCTTTGCAGATACTTAGTTTAGTTCTCACATATAAGTGAGAACATGTAGTGTTTGGTTTTCTGTTCCTAAGTTAGTTCACTTAGGATGATGTTCTCCAATTCCATCCAAGTTGCTGCAAAAGACATCAATTCATTCTTTTTGACAGCTGATTAGTATTCCATGGTTTGTGTATGTGCTTTCACATTTTCATTATCCACTGATTAGTTGATGGGCATTTAGGTTGATTCCACATCTTTGCAATTGTGAATTGTGCTGTGATGAACGTGCTAATGCAGGTGTCTTTTTTGTTTAACTACCTCTATTCCTTTAGGAAGATACCTAGCAGTGTGATTACTAGATCAAATGGTATGACAATATTACTTTTAGTTGTTTGAAAAATCTCCATACTGATTTCCATAGAGGTTGTACTAATTTACACTCCCAACAACAGATAATTTATGTAAGGCCTACTATGTGCCTGAGACAGGAGAACTAGGCAGACATAACTCCCTCTAACGTACATGGAACTTACAGTTGTAATAAGTGCATGAGACAGTAGCTCAGTTTCCATGAGAATGTGTAACAAGAAAGCCTGACCTAGACTAGGGAAAACAGGGGAGCAGGGTCAGGGAAGACTCCTTGAGGAAAAAAAACCCTGAAGGATGAGTGGGAGTTAGTTGTATCTCTGAGGGTAGCAGAGCTGTCTATACAAATGCCTGAGGTAGGAAGAAGCGCAGTGCTTTTGTGGAATTGAATGAAAACCAGGGTGACTGAAGCATAGTGGTCAAGGAAGATGAGAGGAGACTAAGGCGGAAGCAAAGCCTGCCATGCTGGGCCTGAGAGATCAAGTCCAGCTTTTCTTGGAAGCATCAACCCACTAGAATGTAGCTTCTTCTTTAGCGCTCACATTGTGTTATTCTGTTTCTTTCTATTGGGTTAAGTCCTGGAGACCTCAAGGCTCAAGTCTGTTATACTTTTGTCTCTCATGGCTTGTAAATAATAATAGATAATATATAGAACCTATCAAAATACTAGTATAATTCATTAAATCCATTAAAATTACTTGTGAAACTATTTAACATATTGGTTAGCAAGACTTAATGGACTTTATGCTTGATTTAGTATAGTTTCTTCCTTCAACAGATTTTATTTATCACCTTCCTTCTACCAGGACGTGGAGAAAAGGCTAGACCTAAGTGAACAAGACATGGTTCCACCCTCATAAAGCTTGTATTCTAGTTGAAGAGCTACATATTGAATAATTACATAGCTATTTAATTAAAATTGAAATAGTGCTGTAGAAGATTGGGACTTGAACAGATGTGGGGAGGGCAGGGAAAACTTTCTTGAGGAAGTGACATTTGGACTGAACTCTGAAAGAATAAGAAGGGATTTGGGAGAAGCAGGCAATGAGCAGAGAGTGGTGGGAGAGGCCACAGGCCAGGAAGAGCATTACAAGGAAGAAAAATGGCCTTTGTGAGGTGAGTTAAGTACATACTTCCCAGGGAAAGCTAGAAAGATTGGTTCAATGATTATGTAATTTGTGCCATCCCTCACCTGTTCAATTGTTGCAAAATTCTAATTTCAATGCTTAAAGTCTAGTGACATTAGAATTGGGAAAAAAAGGAATGGGTGATAGACCTTTTTTAAATTTTGAAATACTATATTCACAGGAAAGTACAAAGAAATGAACACCTGCCACCCAATCTCCCCTGGGTGACATATCTCAGGGACAGGGTGGTTTAATTGGATGAATGGCCTGGGCAACCTTTAATACTCCCTCAGAACTAGAAAGTCTGTTTTTGGTTTTTACTCTAAAATCTACTTCACCAAAGCTAATCATATTCTGACCCTAGATCTTCAAGTAACTTTAAGGCCAACTCATAAGAAGACCTTATCTCTCAAAAATTTTTTAAAAAAATTAGCCAAGCATGGTGGCAAGTGCCTATAGTCCCAGCTGCTCAGGATGTTGCAGCAGAAGGATCACCTGGGATCAGGAGGTAGAGGCTGCAGTGAGCTGTGATTGCACCACTGAGCTTCTACCTAGATGACAGAGTGAGACCCCCAGCTCAAAAAAAAAAAAAAAAAAAAAGGAAAAGAAAAGAAGGAAAGAAGGAAAGAAAGAAAAGAAAGGAAAATGACCCAGAAGTTTCACTTTTAAATATTTACCTAAGAGAAATGAAAACATATATACACTGAAATATGTATACAAAAATATCCATAGCAACTTTATTCATAATAGTCAAGATCTAGAAATAACACTAATCACCACCAATAGGAAAATGAATAAACAAATTATGGTATAGTTATACAACAGAAAGGAACATACTATTGGTACTTAAGAATATGGCTGAACCTCAAAAGCATTATGCTGAGCAAAAAATGTCAAGCACAAACAAGTATGTACTCTAAGATATCATTTATATGAGGTTCTAGAATATGCAAAACTAATCTGTGGCTTATAAGGCCAGAGCATGGTAGTCCGGAAGTGGGGGTATAATAGAGATTGACTGGGAAGGGGCACAAGAGCATGTTCTGGAGTCATGGAAGTGTTCTATATCCTGATAGGTGTAGGCAGTGGCTAGTCTACAGTTTGTCAAAATACATTGAACTGTACATGTGAGATCTATGTATTTTACTTTGTGTAAATTATATCACACCCTAGCTGTTCCTTTAAATCACTGGGAGAATTTTTAAGAACTCAGGTTGCTAGGCAGCGTCAACTTTTGGACTGAGAGCGAAGCCTCACTTTCAAAAATCTGAAAGCCTGGGTTCACTCTCAGAGATTTCAATTTAAATGGTCTGGGGAAAAGCTTGAGCATTAGGAATTTAGAAAACTCTAGGTGGTTCTAATGTACAGCCAAAGTGAAAAATCATTGTGTTGAAACTTGCAGAATTTCAGCTTCTGGGTGTGGACCTAACTGATGGACTCCTGTGTCAGCTCACTGGCTGAAATTTTAGCAAGTAGAGATTCATTTAGGTTAGTGACATTTACGTGGGTAAGGATCAGTTACTATATTATTCAAAAGTCTAGAATTAGTATTGCATAATTATGGTTCCATCTTCGTGTCATTACAATACATGCATAATAGCTTTCTGGATCATGCTACTACCATTTAAAATGCTTTGTCAATTGTAATATTCCAGTAAAGTATATGGGTATTGTTATTATTACTGTAGTTGCTTTTATTATTGTTTATTACAGTCTTTGCTACAGGGTAGATGGAGATCCTGATAGTTGTTCTTGTGGTATCTTATTGTTAAAATGGACTTATTTGTGAACCTTTCTTCTTTCTGAAGTCCTTACTTCCTAGAGTCCTTTTCTGTTTTTCTTGTAGCTATTTTTAATCATTCTTTTTGAAATTTTTGCTTTCTTTTTTGAATTCCAGGGATTAGGCTTAAAGTTGAAGATAGGGAGAAAATAGCTACAATCTACAAATTGGATTTTGCTTTGTAAAAAGACTTCCTTGGCCAGGCACAGTGGCTCAAGCCTGTAATCCCAGCACTTTGGGAGGCCAAGGCGAGAGGATTGTCTGAGCTCAGGGATTTGAGACCAGCCTGGGCAACTTAGTGAGACCTCATCTCTACAGTGTATCAAAAAGTTAACTGGGCATGGTGGTATGCGCCTGTAGTTCCAGCTGCTCAGAAGGCTGAGGTGGAAGGACCACCTGAGCCCAGCAAGTCAAGGCTGCCATGGTTGTGAGTGTGCCACTGCACTCCAGCCTGGGCAACAGAGTGAGACTCCAACTAAAAAAAAACAAACAAAAAAACCTACTTGCCCTACCTACCTGTCCCCTGAGCTATTTTGTGCAGGGGCTAAAGGTATGGGTTGTGATTCTAGGATACTTTATTTTCTCTGAAAAAGATGTCCCTGGCTTCAGTAGCCCCTTTATGTGACTCACTGTTAATAATGTGCCCAAACATGGGGTCATTAAGGGACAGAGGATAAATTACAGAGCTGGTCTAAAGCCTCTGTGAAAAGTCCCCACAATTTAGGAGAACTCAAGTTGCTGGGCAGCTTCAATTTTTGGACCGAGAGCGAAGTCTTACTTCTATACCACACTCTGCTATCACCCACTCTGACCCCTTCTGCCCCCTCCCTCAGATATCTACATGTTCCTAACTAGATTTTCTAGCTATAAGTTAGCAAGTAGAGTTGGGTTTTTTTAAAGTTTTTTTAAAAATATACATCCCTAAGACAAACCTGTCTGTCATTCTTGCTTCATGTGAATTTATTAAATCAAATTATTTTTGCTAGAACACCCCATTTGGAAACGTTACACCCTAAGGAAATAGAGGGGAAGGCAATCAGGCAATAGGTAGGGACAGATAACCCAGCTAGAAAGGGAGTAATTAGGCAGACAGAGGGTGCTGTGATGAGGTTTCTTGGCCTCAGATGGTAGGGAGGGGCCAAAGATAGTTTTCTTAGTGACTGCCTTGCCTTAGATAGGATGTGCCGTGTCCCTCTTCCACTTTGGAACTAAGATCCATATGTCTCTGCTTGCTGCCTTACCCTGCCTTAGGGATCCTGGGTGACAGGTCAAGGTAGTCTAGGATGCAGAGGTAGAGAACATGGAGGGCACGGGCAGGGTGATAGAAAAGCCATGTAATCGTGCACAGGCAGATTTCTGGTATAAGTGACCACTGACCACATACATACGTGCTGGTAGCTGTGAGAAAGTGTGAGCTCTGAGATACTGCCTATACCTTTGCTTCAGCCATAACTAGATCCAGTGTTTCCCTAGAATGCCAGAGGGTTCAACATGAGCATCCCCATGCCTGGACATCCAGTGAACTTCTCCAGTGTCACCCTGGAGCAAGCCCGCAGGGATGTGGAGCAACTAGAGCAGCTCATCGAAAGCCATGATGTCATTTTCCTGCTGATGGACACCAGGGAGAGCAGGTGGCTTCCTGCTGTCATTGCTGCGAGCAAGAGAAAGGTAGAGTGTGTAGATTTCATGTACACCAATTGTGATTTCATGTACTGCCAATCCAGAAGGAGAAGTGTCCCCAACCCTCACTCCCTTCAGGAGAGAGGTGTGACTGGCTTTGCTCATACACTATCACCTAGTATAATAGGTATCAGTTACTACTTAATTTTCATAACAATCCTTTGTGGTACTCTACACTGGAAGGTGTACTGTACTTACACTGAAGTGTAAGCTCTAAGAGGACAGAGACTTTGTCTTATTAACTGCTGTTTGGTCAGGGACAACAGTATTGAACAGTTAACTAAATCATGGTACATACCCATGATGGAATAATATGCAGCCATTCATACTTATGTTTTCAAAGAATTTGAATAATATGAAAAATACCATATTATATCCAATAAGCAAGATACAATATTGTATATATTTTATTATCAATTATGTTTATATATAGACATATATGTCTGCCTATCTAGCTATATAACTAGAGAGGAGAGAGAAGGGGCAAGAAGAAGGGAGATAGAGAAAGGAGGGAATGGGAGGGAAAATGTAGTAGGAAGAAATACCCCAAACTATTAATAGTAATTGTGCTGCGGGTTATGAATGATTTTTTTCCTACTGTGGTTTTTATTTTTCAAACTTTCTATGTGACCAGAAATTAGGGAGAATAAGTTAAATTACAGCTAGGAAAAGTTATTACAGTGTAAATGAAGAAAAAGCTATCCCATAAAATTCTGTGTGGAGAGTGAATTATATGGTACGTGAATCATCTCTTAATAAGACTGTTGTACAAATATGTGGACATGATGGTATTAGCATAGTAGTGGAAAGAATGGATTTGAGAACCATGTAGACTTGGTTTTATATACCTACCTCTTACCAGCTAAGTGACTTTGGGGAAGTTGTAAAGTTAACTTTGACTTTCAGTATCCTCGTGCATAAATAGAAAGTGTTCGTTAGGAGTTTCAAGTGAAATTAAATGAGTTAGTTTATTAATCACTTATCGGGTCTTTTTCACTTATACGTTACAGTATTGGGTAGCTTTTAGCCTCATCAGCTTTTAGAATCAAATTATACTCTTATGCAAAAAATAAATTTTGAAAAGTGACTGAATACGGCTTTAGCTATGGCTTGAAACGTGTCTCTTAACTCTGTTCTTATGTTCTTTGAAACTTACAGCTAGTCATCAATGCAGCCTTGGGATTTGACACATTTGTTGTCATGAGACATGGCCTAAAGAAACCAAAGCAGCAGGGTGCCGGGGACTTGTGTCCAAGCCACCCTGTGGCATCTGACCTCCTGGGCTCATCGCTTTTTGCCAACATCCCTGGTTACAAGCTCGGCTGCTATTTCTGCAATGATGTGGTGGCCCCAGGAGATGTAAGTGGATATTTCCTATGACCATCTTGTGCACTAAAGCAGAGAGATCTTGCTCTTTCATTCATGACTATTTAAATACTGTCTTTTAACAAAGAGAAGTATTCTTCAATTTTGGGAGGATGTCATTATCCCACTTTGAGCTTTCATTGGCATCATCAACATATAGCTGTTCCTTGCTCACGAGTGTAAATGACCACCTTTGTGGAAAGCTCAGTGAGGAAACCACAGCATAGACTGTCCCTGCTAGCTTTGAACATTGTCTCCTATGCTTATCTTAGTAGAGACTGTATTACAGAGGAGGAGACTGAAGACTTAGATTCCATCCAGGCCTTGACATTGCCTCCCCATGTAATTCTGAATAAATCTCTTAGGTTCCCTGTGCTTTTGTAAAACAGAGTGGGGCATAGAGTTGTCAGATTTAGCAAATAAAAATATAGGAGTCCCAGATAACTTTGAGTTTCAGGTAAATAATGAATAATTTTTTAGTATAAGTATGTCTTATATAATATTTGAGATCTACTTATACTAAAAAGTTATTTGTTGTTTATCTGAAATTTAAATTTAACTGTACATCTTGTATTTTATCAAGCAGCCCTAGGAGGGGAGGGAAGAATACTTGTCCTGTCACTTAATGGTGCATAGTGGGTCAAGTATGAAAGAGCTTTGAACAGCAAGACTGCACCATACAAACGTAAGATTCTGTAGCTTTCATGGCTCCACATGAGTCAGTCTGTGGGGTGGTCTTTTATCAGAACAAATGATTTCCAGTGAAGCAAAGCAGAGATGTTTTCTGTACCCTTCTCTCTATTTTTCCTTTCTTTTAAAACTTGTCCTTAATAACCCATACCTCTTTCAGATGACTGGCTTTTATGTCCTTCTGATATAAAGAAAATGCAGTTAATCATGTTATTATGTGAAGAAAGATGACTTGATGATCTCTATCATGACATTATAATGTACAGTTGATTTTGTTGTTTAGTATTTGCTAGCAAATAAGATTTAGGGTCCATTGCAGTAATGTTACATCTGTTCATAAGGTGATATTTTTAGAGTCAAAACTATCCCTATCAAACCCTAATCTTCCTAAAGTTGGAAGGTTATAACTTATTTGGTTTAACCAGTGAAGGCTTGTGTTTGGAGTCATGTTATAGAAAGAATACTTGTAGTTAAGCCTTAGGATCACACTCAGAGTGATAACATGCATATGTTGTGAGAGGCACATAGGAACTGAGGACTGTAGGAATAGCAGCAAATTATTGCTTCCATCTCACGGTCACTCTGAGACCTTAACTCACTTAGAAAGACTGGGAAGAAAAAACATGGAACCAACCATGCTGTCCATCGATGCTGGACTGGATTTAAAAAATGTGGTACATATACACAATTGTTATTATGCAACTGTAAAGAAGGACAAACATATGGACTTTGCAGCAACTTGGATGGATTTAGAGTCTATCATACTCACTGATCTATCACAGAAACAAAGAACAGAGTTCCATATGTTCTCACTCATAAGTGGACCTTGAACAATTATCATAATACTATAAGAAAGGGATTGGCAGTAGTGGGAAACTGCCAGGGGAGGGAGGGGCACACCTCATCAACAAGGGTACCTGCATAATCAACTTTTGTATACCTAACCCTGAATTGTACCCCACATCTTTAAAAGAAAGCCAAAAAGAAAAAGAAAGGCTGGGAAGAACCACTTGTACTGTTCAAGGTATTATTCCTCTCTGTTTCTCTGTCTCTTGACTACCAAACATAGCAGAATTGAATTGAGTTAAAGAAGTACATGATGTAGTTCCACTATATAGGTAGCTAAGCCCTCATTTTTGGTTGATATCTCCCTATCTTTAATTTGTTTAAGCTGTTAATCCTTTTTTTTTTTTGAGTTGGAGCCTCACTCTGTTGCCCAGACTGGAGTGCAGTGGCCGCTCCCGGCCACCACAGCCTCGACCTGCTGGATCCTTCCGCCTCAGCCTTCCGAGTAACCGGAATTACAGGCGCACGCTACCACGCCCGGCTGATTTTTTGATTTATTGTAGAGATGAGGTGTTGCTGCCCAGGCGGATCTCGAACCCGGAGGCTCAGGCAATCCACTCACCTCAGCCTCCCAAAAGCGTGGGATTACAGGCTGAGCCACTGAGCCTGACTCTGTTAATCCTTTTTAGCATCTTATTACCTCATTTAGTTATCTAAATTGTGTATTTTTTTTATCTTGACAATCCCAATAAATTATATTATTTGGGGTTAGATGTTCTTTGCCAACAGTGAGCATCTGGTTGTATTTTAAAGCTTTATCATGGAGGCATTTCCTACTTCAAACAACCAAAGTTGAATGGAATAGAACTTTCAGTATATATCAGTGATTGTTTCTCTGCAGTCAACCAGAGACCGGACCTTGGATCAGCAGTGCACTGTGAGTCGTCCAGGATTGGCCATGATTGCAGGAGCCCTGGCAGTGGAATTGATGGTTTCTGTTTTGCAGCATCCAGAAGGGTAAGTTTGCTAGTGTAGATGAATGTTCAAACAAAGAAAGCTTTTATAGGCAGTTGTTCATCAGTGTCTCCCTTGGTATTTTCTCAGTCTGACTTTTATTACTCTTTCTGCCCTCTAAAACACAAGACTAAAAAATCTGAGTCTGATTCTTTGGCCTGAGAGAACTTGTCATGCAATCTTTGGGACTATATCTCTGCATTGAATTGTAGAGTTATTTGGTAATTGATAATAAGGAAGAATGGAAATTTTGGTGGAGGCCTTAGAACCTTCATGCTTTTATTGTTAGTAGGTTTTTATTTTCTTAGCACTGAACACTTATAAGGAAATACATGAATCATTTATGTTAGAAATTATAATCAGCTGTGGGTATCAGACATCCATCTTCATTGACTTAGTCAAATGAGGCTTTATATTTCTTATGCAGCAAGAAGTTCAGAGGCAGGCAGTCCAGGGCTTTTATAAAGTTTCCATTATGACATCAGGGACTTGAGTTCCTTTTTATTCACCCAGCCACTCTTAGCTTGTCATTTTGTGGTCACAAGATAGCTCTACCTCTAGTTTTGCTTCTGTGTTATAGTTTAGAAGAAAGACATGACTAAAGTATAAAAGTTTTGGTCAACTGAGTCTACCCTCTTTGAGAAGACTCATCCAATGATTCTAATTCCTGTATCAACTGAACACTGCTAGGTATAAGTAAGACTGACAAATGTAGTTTTTTTGGCTGAGCATATTGCTTCTCTGAATCAAATAGTGATAAGATAGAAGAGGAGAATGGGTGTGCAGCAGTGTCTGCACACTCATTTTTGAAATTCTCTATGTATTTAAACCCCAGGCAATATTATAGTTGGTATTCATTGTTTTCCTAACATTTTTCTTAAAATATTGCTTCTGTGCCATTTTCTCCTGCTTCCTTCCTCTTGAGACTCCAATTTCATGTCAATTGGAATCAACTTATGTGTCCTTCATGCTCTTTTCTGTATTTTCAATCATTTCGTCTTTCCTTGCTTCTGTCTAGCTAATTTTTTTTGACTTATCTTCCATTTTACTAATTCTCTCTTCTTTTGTGTCTAACATGTATTAAACATAAGGAAGAATGGAAATTTTGGTGGAGGCCTTAGAACCTTCATGCTTTTATTGTTAGTAGGTTTTTATTTTTATTTTAATTTCATTATATGATTCCAGTCTAGAGTTTCCTCTTGATCTTGTCTTACATGTTTTCTGTTCTCTGCTTAAATGGTGATTTTGATTTTTTTGTTTCCTTGGAAACATTTAATCATGTTTTTCTAAGTCCTCATCAGATGTCTCCACTGTCTGGGTCTCCTATGGGTTTGTTCCTGCTGTCTGCTGTTTTTTTTTTAGCTTCCTGGTCACATATTGTCTCTTTATATACCTGGTTTTTAAAAGACCAGAATTTATTATGGAAAATTCAAACACGTATAATAGAAGATATATATATATACCCTCTTATGTACACTGCCCAGCTTCAACAGTTACCAACACATGGCCAATCATCATTTACCTATGCTATCTATATTACTATCCACATTTGTTTTTCCTCCTACTGGCTTATTCTAAAGCAAATCTCATTTCATTCATAAACATGTATCTTTTTTAGTATGTTTCTCAACTATTTTTACATTTAAAAACAAATTAAAGAAAAAATAAATTAATATCATCACATATCCAGTTAATATTTAAATTTCCCCAATTCCTTGAATATATCTGGTTATTTTTTATTGAAAACTGAACATTATATATGAAAATTATAGAGATATGACTTGCATTTCCTTCTAGCCAACTGCTAGGCTAAGTGCTCTAGCAGTCCTAGGTCTATTTCTGGTCCCTTACTCTGAGAATGTAGCTCCCAGTGATCTCAGCACAAAGTCTCTCCTTATTGGCAGACCTCAATCTCCAGTTGTCCCCTTCAGCCCCATGAGTCTGTCAGTATTATTGTTCGGCTTCTATTATTGCTCAGATCCTATGGTCACTGCTTTTGCAGGTTGGCAATCACTTTATGAGAATGAACCTCTCCCCTACCCCCATGCAGATGTCTGATGTACCTTTGTGGGCTTCTCTCCTCCCACAGATCTTGGCTCTGTGATTCAACCTTATCTTGGTAGCTCTCTGATGCTTTTAAACAAAAGTTTTTATACTTTGTCTAGCTTCTCTATTTATTCTCAGTGTGAGGGTTGCTCCTGACCACCTAGTCCACCAAAGCCACACCAATTTTAAAACATAACATTTATTTATTTAAAAAATGTGGGGTACAATTCAGGATTAGATACATAAGTGTTTATCATATAAATGAATCGTGGCCTCCCTTTGGTTCCTACTTAGCCTGGTTTGAGAACAGGTACCCTTATTGATGTTATGTGCCCCTCTTCCCTCCCCAGCAACATCCCACTACTGCCAATCCCTTTCTTGTATTATTATGGTAAATGTTCAGGATCTGCTTATGAGTGAGAACATGTGGTACTCAGTTCTTTGTTTCTATGATAGTTCACTGAGAATTATAGACTCTAAATTCATCCAAGTTGCTGCAAAGTTCATGTGTTTGTCCTTTATGGCTGCGTAGTATACCATCATGTAAATGTACTACATTTTTAAAATCCAGTCCTGTTTCAATGGGCAGCACAGTTGGTTCCATGTTTTTGCTATTGTGAATAGTGCTATAATAAACATTCATGTGCAGGCATCTTTTTGGTAGAATGATTTTAATTCCTCCAGGTATATTCCCAGAAGGGAGATTGCTGGGTCATATGGAAGGTCGATTTTTAGATCTTTTAGAGAGTGCCATGCTGTTTTCCACAGAGGTTGTACTAATTTCTACTCCCACCAACAGTGTAGAAGTGTTCCCCTTTTCCTGCATCCTCTCCAGCATCTGTTGTTTTTTGAGTTATTGGTAATAGTATTTGTTTCTGAATTATTTATTTATTTAATGAATTAATTTTTTTATGAGTTGGAGTCTCACTCTGTCGCCCAGACTGGAGTGCAGTGGCCGCTCCCAGCCACCGCAGCCTCGACCTGCTGGGCTCTGGCGATCCTTCCGCCTCAGCCTTCCAAGTAGCCGGAATTACAGGTGCGCGCTACCACGCCCGGCTAATTTTTTGATTTATTGTAGAGATGAGGTCTCGCTGCCCAGGCAGGTCTCGAACCCGCGGGCTCAGGCAATCCACTCACCTCAGCCTCCCAAAGGCGCGGGATTACAGACTGAGCCACCGAGCCCGGCTATTTATTTATTTTTAATTTATATTTTATTTTAAAGATATGTGGTACAATTCAGGATTAGGTATACAAGTGGACATCATACAGGTAAAGTTTGGGCCTCCCTTTTGTCCCCACTTTGTCTGGTTTGAGATCAGGTACCCTTATTGATGTTGTGTCCTCCCTGCCCCCACCCTGGCAGTATCCCGCTACTGCCGATCTCTTTATTATAGTATTATGGTAAATGTTCAGGGTCCACTTATGAGTGAAAACATGTGGTACTCTGTTCGTTTCTGTGATAGATCACTGAGTATTATAGACTCTAAATCCATCCAAGTTGCTACAAAGTCCATATGTTTGTCCTTCTCTATGGCTTTGTAATATTCTGTTGTGTGTATGTACTACATTAAAAAATGCAGTCCAGTTTTGATGGGCAGCATGGTTGGTTCCATGTTTTTGCTGTTATGAGTAATACTGCAATAAACATGCATGTGCAAGTATCTTTTTTGTAGAATGATTTGAGTTCCTCCAGGTATATTCCCAGAAAGGGGATTGCTGGGTATATGGAAGGTCAATTTCTAGTTCTTTTGGAAATTGCAATACTGTTTTCCATAGAGGTTGAACTAGTTTGCAATCCCACCAGCAGTGGAAGCATTCCCTTTTCTTCGTATCCTCACCAGCATCTGTTGTTTTTGGTTTTATTAATGATGGCCATTCTTACCTGGGTTAGGGGTATTTCAATGTGGTTTTGATTTGCATTTCTCTGGTGATTAGTGAGACTTAGCACTGTTTCATGTTTCTGTTGGCTGCTCATATGTCTTCTTTTGAGAAGTGTCTATTCATGTCTTTTGCCCACTTTTTTTTTTTTTTTTTTTAGTTGGAGTCTCACTCTGTCACTCAGGCTGGACTGCAGTGGCATGCTCTCAGCCACCCCAGCATTGACCTGCTGGGCTCAGGTGATCCTTCTGCCTCAGCCTTCCAAGTAGCTGGAATTACAGGCACATGCCACCATACCTGGCTAAAATTTTGATTTATTGTAGAGATGCAGTTTTGCCAAATTTCCCATGCTGTTCTCAAACCCGTAGGCTTAGGCAATACCCTCACCTTTGCCTCCCAAAGTACTGGGATTACAGGTATGAGACACCACGCCTGGCCCTTTGCCCACTTTTTAATGGGGCTGTTTGTATTTTCCCTTTCAGCACGTTTGAGTTCTTTGTAGATCCCGGATGTTAGGCCTTTGTCAGATATACAGTTGGCAAATATTTTCTCCCATTCTGTGGTCTGTCTCCCCTTCTCTTCATGTTTTCTTTTGCTTTGCAGAAGCTTTTCAGTTTGATGGAGGCCCCGCTTGTCTATCTTATCTCTTATGCCATGGGCATTTGGGGTTTTGATCAGGAATTGGCTGCCTATTCCAATTTCTATAGGGGTATCTCCTATGTTTTCCAAGATTCTTATAGTTTGAGGTTTTATGTTTAGAGTTGATTTAGAGTTGATTTTTGTGTATGGTAATAGGTAGGGGTACCGTTTCATTCTTCTACATGTGGTTAGCCAGTTTTACCAGCACCATTTACTGAATAGGTTCTCCTCTCCCCAGTGGTTGTTGGTGGAGGCTTTGTCAAAGATGAGTTGGCAGAGAAATTGAGGTTTTACTTCTGGAATCTCTGTTCTGTTTCATTGGTCTGTATGTCTGTTCTTGTACCAATACCAGGCTGTTTTGATTATTGTAGCCTTATAATAAATTTTAAATTCTGGAAGTGTGATACCTCCTGCTTTGAAAACTTTTTTTTTTTTAAAGCACTGACAGTGTATTCGGCTTGCATGTGAGAAGAAATAAATGAGTAGGCTGGTATTTTTTGTTTCCACTTGACCTTGGACTTCTTAGTAATCTGTATGTTTATCACATCTTATGAATGTTATATTTCAGGTACAAAAATAAGCACAACATGATCTGGACAATCTAACTTTTCCAAGCAAGAAGATTTTGCTTTATGACTTATAAACAGTAGAATCAGTTCTTCTTCCATTAAATAGAAGTGAGACAAAAATTAAATTAATTTTTAAAATAGCATCAGTAATTTTTAAAAAGAAAGAAAGGAAAGGAATAAAAGAAAATGCTAACAACTTAGGATTTTCTCAGTATCTGACTATGCTGTCAATGTCAAACAGTCAAGCCAGACTGAAGTCAAACAGATCTTTACACCTGACAATATGGGAAATATACTATGGTTTATTTTATTTTTCAAACACATGTAGTGCTAGGCACTGTTTTAAGCACTTTACAAATATTGCCTTATTTAGTCCTCATAGCAAACATAGTAGGAAGGAACTATGGACCCATTTTTGGTAGGGAAATTGAGACATAGTGAGGATAAGTGGCTAAATTCAGTTATTGTAGTAAGTGGAAAAGCAAGGATTTGGCTCAGCCAATGTGGCTCCAAAGTTTTTGATAACTATGTTACTATGCTATTTGTAATCCAGGCAGGAGAAAATAGAACTTCTGAAGATTTATTTTTCTAATTCTCAGAAAGTCAATTTGCAAATGAACATGAATAACCTATTTATTGTGTGACTAAGAACTTTTCTACACAGCTGAAAAGATGGACCCTGTACAATTTTGGTAGCATATATAACTAGTAGTCTGGAGTTGAATGAAAAGGAAGCAACATTTTTTTTTTGTCTTCTTTTTATCTTTGTCATCCACCTTAGCTCCCTCTGTCATTTAAGTTTATTGCCGCCTCCTGACAGGAAGTATTTGGGTTAAAGTCTTTGACAGATGATTTGCTGCTTCCCTTGACACTCTGTCTGCCACATTTGCCCGGGTCATAGGTTAAACATCAGGTCCTGTGTCACATCTCCTTGGTGACACAAGTATCACACCTTTGTTCAGGGAAGACTGTGTTAGTTCTCTTGCCCAATTGATTTTTCACTTTTAATTCTCCTTTCTCTATTTTGGTAGCATTTACATAAGGTCAATAAGTTAAGGCTAGAAAATTTTCCACTTCAACATTTCAATACAAAAATGTGCAGTGGCAAGCCTATCTCAGAGTAAGGGAGTTAACATTTATTAGCCTATTGTGTGCCAAACATTATGCTTGGCAATTGGTCTAGTATCTTCCCAATGTTCACATCACAACCCCCTTATTCCTACTCTGTAGATAATGGACCTGAGGCACAGTGAAGTTAAGCAACTTGCCTATGGTCACAAGCTCTGGTCTTTCTGACTCCAAACCATGCATTTTTTAAAAAATTATCACTCTTCTTGCCTTGTCTCCCAGGAAAGTTAGTTTTTTACTAGCTTATGCTGCCCAGCAAGGGATATTTTAGCTATCCTTAGAAATCTTGCATGGATGTCTGCCAGATCATCCTTGCATGTGTTAAACATAAACTTTGATAAGATTGTTTCCTTTCTTCAGGGGCTATGCCATCGCCAGTAGCAGTGACGATCGAATGAACGAACCTCCAACCTCTCTTGGACTTGTGCCTCACCAGGTTAGTGATTTGGAAATGAAATAACAATTCAGAACCTGATCGCTTTGGTGTAAGGAGAAAGCACAAGGGGTTACTTTGTCATTCCAACAGCCCAGCCCACCTCATATCCATCCTATTTATCCTGCAGCTGGAGTTTCAGTGGAAGGTATTCCAGTGTGCAGGATGGTGACAAAAAGAAATTGCAAACGAACAACATTTCCCAGTCTTTGATGAGTTCAGTAAGCTGATTAGAGACCTCATAATGGAGTGAAAAAAGGAAGAACAGGCTTTAGAATCAGCTAAACAGTGGTTTGAATCCCAGACCTGCTGTTATTAAGATGGTCTTCCACAGCCAAGTCACTAAACCCTGAGCCTTAGTTTTCTTATCTGTAAAAAGGAGAAACTAATACCAACCTCATTTGGCAGTTGTACAGATTAGGAATAATAGAGCTAACCAACAGTGGCCCTCAAAAAGTGATGCCTGCGATTTTTGTTGCCATGGTTTGTTATTATCATTGACTCCATACCCAAATAGAAAGCCTTTATAGTCAAGCATGGGAAAACCACTGGAAGCATGCCGTGTCACCAGAAAGTGGGGTGTCTTTTCAGAAAAGGAATCCAAAGCATCATAAGGAAGGTCAATCCCTTAGAAATTAAAAAAGCAGTGGGATGAAAATTGGAATTCATGTTGCCTCTTCAGTAGTTTTTATTACTATATTTTTGGAAGATTGAAGAGATTTTCCAATGTTAACTTTTGGAAATCATTTTTCTAGGTTCCATAAGTGTTTTCTGGCCTGTAACATGAAGGCTATTCCCCACCAGTGAAGTGGTGATGGTGCCAGTCAGTCCCATCTGGGGATTTGCAAGGACAGACTCACAGATGGGTGCACTGAACAGACTCACTCAGTTCACCCGTGTCTCTCTTTTCCTCCCTACCACACCCCCTCCTGCCATCTAGAACAACCCTTTGTCTTTCAGTTGAGAAAGAGAATCAGAGGAGGGGAAATGACTTGTCCACAGTCACAGATAAAGCTGAAGGATTATTTTGGTTGTTGGCCATCTCTAAACTTGGCACTCCGACCACTGTTCTTTCAAAGGTTTTGTATGTAGAAAGAGCCCAGGCCTGCATGTTGGAAGATTTAGCTTCCAGTTGCTAACCTAGCCTTCTTGCACTAAACCACCCATAATAGAACTTGTGTTACTTCACTTAACCTCCTCAGACCTCACTTTCTATCTTAGTAAAAGCTGGTGCTTTACCTCGAGTCCAGGATTACGTCTGACAAGGCCTTGCAAACTTTAAAATACTAAAAAAGTGACTCCTCACCTCCCTTCACACAAGGTGGCTTTTCTTTTTTTTGACATGAATGTGTTGATCTTCTCTACAGAGACATTTCAAGTAGGACCCAACAGACAGTATAATAACCATCTATCGTAAGGAAACTGATCTCCAGACCTAATCTCTGCTATTTATGCTTTCGTATGTCATTCAAATCTTTTTCAAGTCTCCCTCCTTCTTCTGACCTTGAGATGTGCCCTCATCTCCTTTACAGATTTTATATTGAAAAGGGCCTTAATTAAATTTTCAGTCATGCCCCTGCACTGGTTTCCTTCTTTAAGTCCTTTATGTTAAATTACTGCAGTTGTAGTTTTCTCAGTGCTGAGGCCAGAGGGCAAAACAGTCTCTTTGTAGAAGGGAGCCAGTGTCAAAATGCATGTGCCCATGTTTTTAAAGTACTATGGCAACTAATCCCTCTCGATGTTATTTATCCCCATTGAGCCTCACAATTGTTTGTCATTCACCAACTCTTCTAGTTCTTTCTCCTCATTTTCAAATGTCTGAAGGATTATTTTGGTTGTTGGCCATCTCTTCATTTGGCCTTTTCAAAGACTGAAGAATAATGCAGCCATATATGGGAAAAGCCCTGTGTGTGTGTGTGTGTGTGTGTGTGTGTGTGTGTGTGTGTGTGTTTACTTGCTTACATTATTTCAAGTTTCAAGTCTTTATTTTTAGCTACTTTCTAAAAAAGAACGTGGAGAAAGAAATTTAAAAATTAATCAGGGTTGTGTGGTCCCCATTTATAGACTTTAAACAAGTTTTTTTTTTTCTTAAGTGGAGTGAGTCCATTTATGCAACTGTGTTTTGATTAGGGGAACATTGTTTCCACAAAAACACTGGGCTGTGTTGCAATGCCCTGTTGCAGACTCAGCACTTCCCTCCTCCTCTTCCTGGCTCTCTGAGACAAATGATTTCCTGTTGGAGAAGAACGCGGTAAACCCCTTTGTGTACTTTCTATGCAAAGAATGACCAGTGAAGTTTACTGGGCTCATTTTTCTCATTTCCCCAAAGGAGAATGTTTATTAATTGGCCCCTGTGGAATGAAATGTAGTAGAAAAGTGATAGTCCTTGGACTGAAAATCATAAGGCACCCCCCCCCACCCCCGCCGCCGCACTGGCAACTCATTGTGTAATTTGGAGAAAGTTCCTTAACTTTTCCTGTGCTCTCTGGGTCTCTGCTCTCCTCAGTGTCAGACCTAGGAGGCCTGAGGATTACTTAGTTGTTCTCTCTGTGGGACCACAGGCAGAATTTGGCCCATCCAAAGATTGGCCAAGTACAGAAAAAGGCTTGATTAGTCCCTGAAATTCAATGAAATTCTGCCTGAAGTAACCTCTTGCTGAATTTGAAAACCGTGAAAAACCATTTAAGGTGAGAAAATAGGCTTATGGGTTTCTTGGGGTTTTCTTTTTTTTTTAATCTCTGGCCCAATGCATATGAATTGATTCTATTCTGCAATCAGGCAGCAATACATATAAACTAATTTCTGTCTAGAAAGAATGATTTTTTTTAAAAATTATTTTGTCAATACATAGAATACATATAGATAATCATGCAAATCATTAAGTGGGATGAATCACCACAAAATGAACACAGTCCTGTACCCAGCACACTGATCAAAATAAAATGTTATCAAGCATCCCCATAGCCCCCGTTATGTATCTTCTGATTATTATTTCCTCCTTCCTACGGAGGAGTAAGCATCTCTTGACTCTCAACACAGTGGGAGACATTTGTCTAACTCAACTTCTGTAAATGAAATGATATAGTATGTACTATTTGAGGGTCAGTCTGTCTTTTGTAGAGATAACTTTTTCATTGTAAATCTTAGCATAGTAGTATTGTTCCTTTTGCTTCCTGTGAACTGGGATCTTTCATTTAAAAAAAAAAAAAGAAAGAAAAGAAACAAAGTTGTCTTTTCCTGGCTCCTGGGCTGCTGGCTGAACTCTGCAAAGCTAGATCCTTTTTCCGGTTCTTTGGTGGAAGCATAGTTCAGGAGTTATAAAATGTACAGGCCACTCTTGTTATCTGCAGGAAGTTGGTTTGCTGATTGGTGAGAGATCCTGAATGTAACTGAAATGGCCAGCCTATCAGCCTGCTGATCCTTTGGCTGGACATCCTCAGAATTTGATAAAAACAAGATGCTGCCACAATAGTTGTCCAGACACCAAGGTCACTGATGCAGCAGTTCTACTTTTTTTTTTTTTTTGAGTTGGAGTCTCACTCTGTCACCCAGACTGGAGTGCAGTGGCCGCTCCCGGCCACCGCAGCCTTGACCTGCTGGGCTCCGGCGATCCTTCCACCTCAGCCTTCCAAGTAGCTGGAACTACAGGTGCACGCTACCACACCCGGCTCATTTTTTATTTATTTATTGTAGAGATGAGGTCTTGCCAAGTTGCCCAGGCGGGTCTCGAACCCGCGGGCTCAGGCAATCCACTCACCTCAGCCTCCCAAAGGCACGGGATTACAGGCTGAGCCACCGAGCCCAGCTAGCAGTCCTACTTTTATCCTGCTTGTGGACCAAGCAGTTCACATCTTTTGTTGTTGGGTGAGTGTACTCTTGGTTCTAAAGTAGCGATGAAAAAGATCCTGAATGTATGCCCTTCTAGGTTTGGACTCGCCAACCCCATGGATCTCTCAGGCTCTTGAAGTCTTTCTTTTAGTTTCAGAAAAGTAAAACAAAGCCAAAACTAGGGCAAGACCCAGGGAGGGACCTGGCCTGGGAAATTTCTAATTGAGACAAATGCTGTGACAGAGCTAGAGTCTCTAGTCATGTCAGGCTACTATTTATTTGGCCTGTTTGCATAGGCTGTGTCCCCCAAATCCTCAGGCCTTTCGCTTTTAGTAAGTTCTTTTTGCTGTACTCAGAAATACTTATCTCAGTGTGCCAGTATTACAGGCTAGAAAACGCCATTATTTTATCTTTATTAGTTAACCTCTAGGGATATAGACAGATTGACTGCTGAGGAGAGAGGTTTTAGAAGATAAGCATTGAGCTGGGCTCGGAGGCTCAGCCTGTAATCCCGCGCCTTTGGGAGGCTGAGGTGAGTGGATTGCCTGAGCCCCTGGGTTCGAGACCCGCCTGGGCAGCGAGACCTCATCTCTACAATAAATCAAAAAATCACCCAGGCTTGGTAGCGCATGCCTGTAATTCCAGCTACTTGGAAGGCTGAGGCGGAAGAATCGCCGGAGCCCAGCAGGTCAAGGCTGCGGTGGCTGGGAGCGGGCCACAGAGTCTGGGCGACAGAGTGAGACTCCAACTCAAAAAAAAAAAAAAAAAAGTAGATAAGCATGTTCCTGAGGTGTAGCCCAGGAGAAGGAATTCCCTTCCCCCTCTGACTGTGCTGCTCTGGTTGATGACAATGGAAGTGGCAGGGAAAATGGATGGTTCATGTTTTAGTTTGTGACCTATTTATCCTGTCTCCCTCCATCCAGTCATCTCTTCAACAGATGATTCCCAAGCACTGATTTTGTGACAAACACTGTTTCAGAGAAGTTAAGTAACCGGCCCAAGATCACCCAGTGTTGAGTTTCATTTGCTTTTGGAGTCATCCGAGGTGTTAGATGTACCCCAAGCCAGTTGAAAGTGGTAGACTCATTCTAGTGGGGAGATCCTGAATACAAGGAAGAATTTGGATATAAGATCTGACAATGTCTGGGCTTATTCTGTGAGGTCCTAGAAGAGGG